CAGAATCTGGTGCAGCTGTGTATGGGAGCCAATCAGCTTCTAACTTCAGCTTGTTCTATTAAGCTTTGAGAATAAAACCTGGAAGCGGATTGGTTTCTCTGCAAAGTTTCACCACATGTTGCACTCTCCAGCTTTAGTAAATAACCCCCATTGTATATCTGTCTGTATATATTGGACACTGACTCCTATACACGGCATATATATATCGTCATGTATATATATCGTCTGTCATGGTCTCTCCTATACACGGCATATATCCTGTCTGTATATATCGGTCATGAACTCCTATACACGGCATATACCTGTCTGTATATATATCGGTCATGAACTATGATACATAGTGTGGACTTGTGTCTACAGCCAAAGAAGCCGTCACTGAAAATACATTGTATCCCCAGCATAGTGCAGACGATACATGGTGACCTGATGTTGTTACATTGTATTTGTTGACAAACTATATATGTGGAATACAGGTCCTGTGTTATGGAGTTCAGGTATTGTATTCCCAATGTAGTAAAGATGGCAGATGCTGCATTGATGTCTGAATACAATGTGCCCCAAATACAATGCTGCTGGTACATAACCAACACCTAGATAATGCTGATACATTGTATATCCTCTATAAGGAAAATAATACATTGTATCCCCAATATACTAAGAAATATACATTGGATGCAAAATATAAAGATACATATACATTGTATCCCCAATATATTGATAAACATACAATGTATCCACAATAAACTGAAAAAATATACATTGTATCTCCAAAATAGTGATACATTTACATTGTATCCACACTATACTGAGAAATATGCGATCTATCCTCAATTACTTATAAAGATACAATGTATTCTCAATATTATGATAAATATACAATGTATCCTCAATATACCAATACATATACAATGTATCCCTGATATAGTGAGAAGTATACAATGTATCGTCAATATACCAATAAATATACAATGTATCCCCAATATAGTGAGAAATATACAATGTATCCTCAATATACCAATACATATACACTGTATCCCTGATATAGTGAGAAGTATACAATGTATCGTCAATATACCAATAAATATACAATGTATCCCCAATATACAATAAATATAATGTATCCCCATATAATGATATATAATGTATCCCCAATATAGTGATAAGTATACAATGTATCCCCAATATAGTGATAAATATACAATGTATCCCCAATATAGTGATAAGTATACAAAGTATCCCAATATAATACAATGTAATATATAATAAGTGTACAATGTATCCCCAATATAGTGATAAGTATACAATGTATCCCCAATATAGTGATAAGTATACAAAGTATCCTCAATATATAGTGTATCCTCAATATATAAGTGTACAATGTATCCCCAATATAGTGATAAGTGTATACAATGTATCCCCAATATAGTGATAAGTGTACAATGTATCCCCAATATAGTGATAAGTATACAATGTATCCTCAATATAGTGAGAAATATACAATGTATTTCCCAGTACTTTCCCAGGGCCAGGCTGTACATTCACCCAGGTATACATGCCCCTCTATAGTGATAATGAATCATTGTATCCTGTGATGTCATAATGCTGATAATCTGTATGCTCTGTATAGTGAGTGTACAGTGTGCCCTGTTCTAGTTATGGGATATCATCCCGCCTGTACAAAGTACCCTCTGTATAAGGAGAGGTATACACTGATGGTATGATTTGGGGTATCCCCAGTATAGTGAGAATACTTTGTTTCCATCATATAGTGTCCACAGCTTTACATGTGATATTCATCCCAGGTGCAGTGATACAATGTATACTCTGTATAGTGACAGTATTCCACTGTATCCCCCGGTGTTATGATTCTGGTACAGAGTACCCCCCCCCCATCAAGGTGATAATACATTGTATCCTCTGTATAGTGATATAGACACATTGCCTGTACATAGTGACACAGCTACATCCAGCCATGTGTACAATGATGGAGCAATGCATCTTATTACAGAGATAAAGATGCATTATACCCTCTGTATACTGTGATCCTGGAGCAATGTGCCCTCTGTATAGTGATCAGGTGCAGTGTACCCTGTGTATAGTGTGATCCTGGTGATGATGGTGCTGTATACAGTGTATATAGTGTGCGGTGATGATGGTGCTGTATATAGTGTATATAGTGTATATAGTGTGCGGTGATGATGGTGCTGTATACAGTGTATATAGTGTGCGGTGATGATGGTGCAGGTATACAGTGTATATAGTGTGCGGTGATGATGGTGCTGTATATAGTGTATATAGTGTATATAGTGTGCGGTGATGATGGTGCTGTATATAGTATATAGTGTATATAGTGTATATAGTGTGCGGTGATGATGGTGCTGTATATAGTATATAGTGTATATAGTGTATATAGTGTGTGGTGATGATGGTGCTCTATATAGTGTATATAGTGTGCGGTGATGATGGTGCTGTATACAGTGTATATAGTGTGTGGTGATGATGGTGCTGTATACAGTGTATATAGTGTGTGGTGATGATGGTGCTGTATACAGTGTATATAGTGTGTGGTGATGATGGTGCTGTATACAGTGTATATAGTGTGCGGTGATGATGGTGCTGTATACAGTGTATATAGTGTGTGGTGATGATGGTGCTGTATACAGTGTATATATAGTGTGCGGTGATGATGGTGCTGTATACAGTGTATATAGTGTATATAGTGTGTGGTGATGATGGTGCTGTATACAGTGTATATAGTGTATATAGTGTGCGGTGATGATGGTGCTGTATACAGTGTATATAGTGTGCGGTGATGATGGTGCTGTATACAGTGTATATAGTGTATATAGTGTGTGGTGATGATGGTGCTGTATACAGTGTATATAGTGTATATAGTGTGTGGTGATGATGGTGCTGTATACAGTGTATATAGTGTGTGTGGTGATGATGGTGCTGTATACAGTGTATATAGTGTATATAGTGTGTGGTGATGATGGTGCTGTATACAGTGTATATAGTGTATATAGTGTGTGGTGATGATGGTGCTGTATACAGTGTATATAGTGTGTGGTGATGATGGTGCTGTATACAGTGTATATAGTGTATATAGTGTGTGGTGATGATGGTGCTGTATACAGTGTATATATAGTGTGTGGTGATGATGGTGTGTATATAGTGTATATAGTGTGTGGTGATGATGGTGCTGTATACAGTGTATAGTGTATATAGTGTGCGGTGATGATGGTGCTGTATACAGTGTATATAGTGTATATAGTGTGTGGTGATGATGGTGCTGTATACAGTGTATATAGTGTGCGGTGATGATGGTGCTGTATACAGTGTATATAGTGTGCGGTGATGATGGTGGTGCAGTGTATACAGTGTATAGTATATATAGTGTGTGGTGATGATGGTGCTGTATACAGTGTATATAGTGTGCGGTGATGATGGTGCTGTATACAGTGTATATAGTGTATATAGTGTGCGGTGATGATGGTGCTGTATACAGTGTATATAGTGTGCGGTGATGATGGTGCTGTATACAGTGTATATAGTGTGCGGTGTATACATGGTGATCCCCAGTATATTGGTGATGTCGGTGTGCCATGTGCTCAGTATAGTGATCGTGGTGCATTAATATATATATACTATATACAGTGATGATGGCCCAGTATAATGTCAGTGCGCAGAGTACAGTAGTGATGGTGCAGTATATAGTATACAGTGATCCCCGGTATATAGATAATGAATGTCAGTGTGCTTTGTATAGTGAAGCTGGCATGTATATATACTATATATTCATATATCTCTTCATATAACGTCAGCCTGCTGTGTGCTGTGTATAGTGATGATGGTGCAGGAAAAAATAGTATAGTATATATATATATCCCTCCTTGTAATGTCAGCATGCAGTGTATATTGGTGATGTGCAGTATATATATAATATATATATACAGTACAGTATATTGTGGTGTCCCCCCCCATGTGCGCTGTATATTGGTGATGAGCAGTATATATAATATATATAGTACAGTATATGGAGTATATTTGTGGTGTCCCCCCCCATGTGCAGTGTATATAATATATATAGTACAGTACATGGAATATATATGTGGTGCCCCCCCCCCCCGTGTGCAGTGTATATTGGTGATGTGCAGTATATATAATATATATATTGTACAGTATATATGTGGTGTCCCCCCCCCCCGTGTTCAGTGTATATTGGTGATGAGCAGTATATATAATATATATAGTACGGTATATATGTGGTGTCCCCCCCCCCATGTTCAGTGTATATTGGTGATGAGCAGTATATATAATACATATAGTACAGTATATATGTGGTGCCCCCCATGTGGTGTACACTGGTGAGTGTATATAATACATATAGTACAGTATATATGTGGTGTCCCCCCCCCCATGTTCAGTGTATATTGGTGATGAGCAGTATATATAATATATATAGTACAGTATATATGTGGTACCCCCCATGTGGAGTGTATATAATATATATAGTACAGTATATATGTATATATGTGGTGCCCCCCCCCCCCCCCGTGCAGTGTACATTGGTGATGTGCAGTATATATAATACATATAGTACAGTATATATGTGGTGCCCCCCCCCCCCCCCCGTTCAGTGTATACTGGTAATGAGCAGTATATATAATATATATAGTACAGTATATATATGGTGGTGCCCCCCATGTGGAGTGTATATAATATATATAGTACAGTATATATGTATATATGTGGTGCCCCCCCCCATGTGGAGTGTATATAATATATATAGTACAGTATATATGTATATATGTGGTGCCCCCCCCCCCCTACAGTGTACATTGGTGATGGTGCAGTGTCATGTACAGTACAGTGTATATATAATGTATATACGGTGCCCCCCCCCTGCGGTGTTCTGTGCGGCGGCATGTCCGGGTCGGCGGTGCTGATGCTGCGGCGGCGGTGGTGTCGGTGTCGGGGATGGAGGAGGTTTCGGGTACCTGGCGGCCACGATGTCGGCGTTGGGCTGGTCTCCCCGGAAGGTGGGTATCCCCCGGAGCCCGGCCCTGGCCAGCAGGAAGAGACCCGGGAAGAAGAGGCTGCCAGCCGCCAGGACCAGGACCATGGCGGCACCGGGAGGAGGAGGAGGGGGAGGGGGGCACCAGGCACCGGGCACACAGACAATGGGGGCTCAGGAGTCCGCTACACTCATCTACAAAGAGGGGAGAGCCGGGGAGGAGGAGGAGGAGGGGGAGGGGAGGAGGAGGATGAGCGCTGATGGTCCCCGCACTGAGGAGGAGGATGGAGGAGGATGAGCAGTGACACGGGGACAGCCGGGGGGGAGGAGGAGGCGGAGGGGGGGGGGGGGGGGGGATCACTGATATACACCGCCTGTCCTAATCCAGCCTGACATGGCTCGGCTCTAATCCCCCACATCGTCATCATCATCATCATCATCAGCAGGGGGGGGGCTCAGACAGGTGATACTGAGCAGCATTGTACATACATCATCCAACATTGTACATACATCATCCAACATTGTACATACATCATCCAACATTGTACATACAGCACCCAACATTGTACATACAGCACCCAGCATTGTACATACATCACCCAACATTGTACATACATCACCCAACATTGTACATACATCACCCAACATTGTACATACATCACTGGGCATTGTACATACATCACCCAACATTGTACATACATCACCCAACATTGTACATACATCACTGGGCATTGTACATACAGCACCCAACATTGTACATACATCACCCAACATTGTACATACATCATCCAACATTGTACATACATCACTGGGCATTGTACATACAGCACCCAACATTGTACATACAGCACCCCAACATTGTACATACATCACCCAACATTGTACATACATCGCCCAACACCCAACATAGTACATACATCACCCAACCCCAACATTGTACATACATCACCCAACACCCAACATTGTACATACATCACCCAACATTGTACATACATCACCCAACACCCTACATTGTACATACATCACCCAACACCCAACATTGTACATACACCACCCCAACATTGTACATACATCATCCCAACATTGTACATACATCACCCAACATTGTACATTGTACATACACCACCCAACATTGTACATACATCATCCAACATTGTACATACATCACCCAACATTGTACATACATCACCCAACATTGTACATACATCACCCAACATTGTACATACCTCACCCAACATTGTACATACATCACCCAACACCCAACATTGTACATACATCACCCAACATTTGTACATACATCACCCAACACCCAACATTGTACATACATCACCCAACATTGTACATACATCACCCAACACCCAACATTGTACATACATCACCCAACATTGTACATACATCACCCAACATTGTACATACATCACCCAACATTGTACATACATCACCCAACACCCAACATTGTACATACACCACCCAACATTGTACATACATCATCCAACATTGTACATACATCACCCAACACCCAACATTGTACATACACACCCAACATTGTACATACATCATCCAACATTGTACATACATCACCCAACACCCAACATTGTACATACATCACCCAACATTGTACATACATCACCCAACACCCAACATTGTACATACCTCACCACCAACATTGTACATACTTCACCCACACCAACATTGTACATACATCACCCAACATTGTACATACATCACCCAACACCCAACATTGTACATACATCACCCAACATTGTACATACATCACCCAACACCCAACATTGTACATACATCACCCAACATTGTACATACATCACCCAACATTGTACATACATCACCCAACATTGTACATACATCATCCAACACCAACATTGTACATACATCACCCCACATTGTACATACATCACCCAACATTGTACATACATCACCCCACATTGTACATACATCACCCAACACCCAACATTGTACATACATCACCCAACATTGTACATACATCACCCAACATTGTACATACATCACCCAACACCCAACATTGTACATACATCACCCCACATTGTACATACATCACCCAACATTGTACATACATCACCCAACACCCAACATTGTACATACATCACCCAACATTGTACATACATCACCCAACACCCAACATTGTACATACATCACCCAACATTGTACATACATCACCCAACATTGTACATACATCACCCAACACCCAACATGTACATACATCATCCAACACCCAACATTGTACATACATCACCCCACATTGTACATACATCACCCAACACCCAACATTGTACATACATCACCCAACATTGTACATACATCACCCCACATTGTACATACATCACCCAACACCCAACATTGTACATACATCACCCAACATTGTACATACATCACCCAACATTGTACATACATCACCCAACATTGTACATACATCACCCACATTGTACATACATCACCCAACATTGTACATACATCACCCAACACCCAACATTGTACATACATCACCCCACATTGTACATACATCACCCCACATTGTACATACATCACCCATTGTACTCTCTCTCCTTCTCTGTTTTTCTCTATCCCCCTTTCTCCCTCACTCCCCCCCCCCCCCCCCCCCTGTTCTGGTGACAGGGTCTCTTTACAGCAGAATTCCAGGCCTGCTCTATGTTCCTATTGTTACATTGTTCCAGTATGTAACTCTGTGTACCGTTCCTGTAGGATCCCCCTGGAAGCAGAGCAGCTGCTGCAACGTATCTCTCGTGCTGAGCAGCCACAGGCAAGCGGTCGGCTCTCTTGGGTCCCGAGTTCCAGATACATCCCAGGAGCAGCCAAACAAACCTCATCCCAAGTGAGTTCATTTTCTTCAGGGAAGCAGCCTCATCTTGAGTATCAATGCCTGTCCCCTGCCAGCATGCTGTAAAGAAGGACCCTTGCTCTCTATGTGGAAGCAGTGGTCTCTCTGCAGAGGTCCCACACACACCCCTGCTGAATCAGGCTTTGCTTCACCTATGCCAGGTCTCTGCACAGCCACGTCCAGGCAGAGAGCAAGGGTCCTTGTCTGCAGCATGCTGGCAGGGGATGGGCTTTTCTACTCAGGCTGTGGCTACTTTCTAAAGAAGATAAGATGTGAAGATTGCAAAGTTAGAGCTTTGTCTCACCAGGAAGTGCATCAGACCTCTGCAGAGAGACCACTGCTTCCACACAGAGACCAAGGGTCCTTGCATGCAGCATGCTGGCAGGGGACATGCTTTTCTACTCAAGCTGTGGCTTCTTTCGAAAGAGGATATGATGGGAAGAATGCAGAGCTTCTGTAGCTCTGCAAAGGCTCTGACTTGCCAAGGACTGTGTTGAACCTCTGTAGAGAGACCACTGCTTCCACATAGAGAGCAAGGGTTTTTGTCTGCAGCGTGCTGGCAGGGGACAGGCTTTTCTAGTCAGGCTGTGGCTACTTTCTAAATAAGATATGATAGGAAGATTGCAACTCACTAGAGCTCTGCAAAGGCTCTGACTCTCCTAAAGAGTGTGTTCAACCTCTGCAGAGAGACCACTGCTTCCACACAGAGAGCAAGGTCCTTGTCTGCAGCATGCTGGCAGGGGGCAGGCTTTTCTACTCAGGCTGTGGCTACTTTCTAAAGAAGATATGATGGGAAGATTGCAGAGCTATTATAGCTCTGCAAAGGCTCTGACTCTCCTAAGGAGTGTGTTGAACCTCTGCAGAGAGACCACTGCTTCCACACAGAGAGCAAGGGTCCTTCACTGCAGCATGCTGGCAGGGGACAGGCTTTTCTACTCAGGCTGTGGCTACTTTCTAAAGAAGATATGATGGGAAGATTGCAGAGCTACTATAGCTCTGCAAAGGCTCTGACATGCCAAGGAGTGTGTTGAACCTCTGCAGAGAGACCACTGCTTCCACACAGCAAAGGTCCTTCACTGCAGCATGCTGGCAGAGGACAGGCTTTTCTACTCAGGCTGTGGCTACTTTCTAAAGAAGATATGATGGGAAGATTGCAGAGCTACTATAGCTCTGCAAAGGCTCTGACATGCCAAGGAGTGTGTTGAACCTCTGCAGAGAGACCACTGCTTCCACACAGCAAAGGTCCTTCACTGCAGCATGCTGGCAGAGGACAGGCTTTTCTACTTAGGCTGCGGCTGCTTTCTGAAGCGAAAAAACTGGAAGACTTTGCAAACTTTTTGTTTTCATGCAGCTGGAATGTATCAGGCCGACTTCACGCTGCGGTTTGGTCGCCAACGCAATGGATTCTCTCAGCTTGTTTCCTTTAAACCTGTTCTGATTGGAAGGACCATGCAGGATATGTGTGGCCCCGACTGCACCCTGGTGGGGTCCCTGGATGCTGCCGCAATGATTTTATCATTGGATGACCTGTGCAGTATTTCCAGCCAGGCCTGGCAGTTTATAAATTGATTTTCCTATATGTGTGAGCACTTAATGTGGCGATAAGGAATCGATCTGCTTACTACTGCTGAGGTTAGCTGCGGATGTTCAGCCAAAAGCCAAGGGGGAGGGGCTTGCAGGAGGTTTTAGGTGGTGCTGGTGGGGGATGTCCTTTAAGGAATAATCTGCAATTAAAAGTGGACCTGTTAGCGGCTTTTCACATTCGGGCAAATAAATTCCTGGCGCGTCCAAATATACAGCTATAGTCTATGTTATCAGGGAAGCTCCACCTTTTATCATATAAAAAGCTGTCCAGGAGCCCAGTCCAGTGACCCTGCCTAAGCTGAGATGATGTCAGTGGTCTGCTGCAGGCAGGAGGAAGCATTTCCCCAGTCTCCTCCCCCCCAGTAAGATCAGACTTTAACATTGCAGCAAGAGAGAGGGGGGCTGATCTGTGTCAGACATTTGTGAACACAGCCAAGAACTGCACAGGCACCAGGATTTACATTATTGGGTCATGTCTTCACAAGTTATAATTCTCCTCAATTGAAAAAAGAGATGTATATTTTTTTTCCTTGCATGGGGCCCGGTAAATTTTACCTGACACCCCTCCCTCCTTCCCCGGAGGTGAAGGAAGAGCTGTAATTCTACTCTGGCCTCCAGAATCTCCAACGGGGTCATACAGGAAAGTTGA